AGAATACCTATATTCGTTCAGAACAAATGAAGTAACACAGACAGAAGAACTGAATCAAATTTACGTCACAGAATTATTCAAATCAAAATTCAATCAAAGTTCAGAACATATTTCAGAAAACATTCAATTCACATTTCATCACAGATTTCCCTGACCCAGACAGAATCTCAAAGGATTCTGGCCCCTTATACCTCCCTTTATGCTTACAGCACCAGAACATATCAGATATACATAATTTTATAATCAGACTTTATTTTTTCAGATTCCCTGATACTGACAGAATCTCAAAAGATTCTAACCCCTTATAACTCCCTTCTAATATCATTCAAACAAATCAAATCATCAAATTCAGAAAAATTGGATTATATTAAAAAAATCGCCAGTGGTATAACGACAGTCCAAAAAAATTTCAACATATCAAATCACAGTTTTAGAAAATTATCAAATTACCACATATAGTGTAAAACATCATTTTAAAACTTTCATTATATTGAAGCAATATTTTCTAGCATCCATATAATTTTCTATTCGATAAAAACTCCGCTGAATTCAAACTGCCTAGTGAAAACTTTCCAGAAAATACTCAAAGCGTGAAAAAATATCATCTCTACAACATACCAAAAGTTACGCGGTAAAAGTTTCGTCGATACAAAGATGAATCACTTTTAGGCTAATGGAAATGAAAATCGAAACAAGAAATCCGTTAAAAACCATATTTATGAAAATTGAGAAAGGCATAATGTGCCTTACATCAAGTCGATCAACTTTTGTAACTACGACGACGGACGAAAATAGACCGACATCGCCAAAAATGCGAATTTCCCCTTCTTACCTTCGTTTTCTCTCTCCTCCTCTTTCTCTCTCTTAAAAAATGACATAATTTAGATATTTATCAAACAGGATCGTCCAGATGATGCCCCCGATCATTCCAGGAAGATCTCCTCTTGACACGGATCGTACAGACAAAAATTGATTCCAATTTCTTTCGTTCCTGGCCTAGACAATTCTCTGTCCCGACGGTTCGTCCCGACGAACTCAGGTTCGTACAAACGAACCTGCACTTTACTCAGTTCGAACAGGTTCGTACAGGCAGTTCGTCCGTACTAACCATACAGATTTTCAATATTTTTTTCAATTCGTACTGACGGTTCGTCCGTACTAACAGCACAAATTTTTTTTTTTTTCAAAATAACTTAAGAGTTTAAGGGTTTCACACTCTTGCTCTCAAAAAACATAGATGCTAAACTACCCAGCTTCCTTTGTCGTGCACTTTCAAATTAAATTTGAGGGTTTGCAATTCAAATAAAAACTTATTCATGACTAAATTTAATTGAACAATAAATGTTCATAACGGAAAAAAACCAGCAATTTAACTCAAGACTCAACTTGTGCATTAAAAATAATAATAATAATAATAATAATAATAAAACTTGTGCATTAAAAAAGTAATAGAAATTTAAATGAAGGGTTTTTAAAAATGTGGAGCGACATGAAATGCCTCTTATACCTTAGAAACTTACTCTAATTTATCCAATAAATGAACATTATGCAGAACTATTGAAGCCACTTAATCTTTCAAATAAGATTTATATTTGTAATTGCTTATTTCTTGATTTTTATTATTTTTATTATTTTATTAGGTTGTCATGGGCACAAAAGCGCAAGGCTTCCTTTCTCCCAGGTAAAATTTTTTATCTTCAAAGCAAGCCATTTTCTCTTTATTTAGGATATTTGAATCCGCATGTATCTTTTGAAGGCAAAGGGAAATGCCACTTGTCGGTTCAACCCATTGGCTCTTCGAGCGAATTATATTATTCCAATGTGTGATTCTTTACAAAGAATATAATTTTATAGTTTCGTATTTTATTCTAAGTGCACGTGTTTTACATTTCAGCATTAAATGAACAGATTAACAAAATAATGCATGCAGTACACGGATTCTTTTGCATGATATTGCTCTGCCTTTCTTAAAAAACTATATTGAAATTCTAGGTTTTTAACCTAACATGATTTAATAGATTGGAAATTGAGAGAAGGGTGTTTTAATAAAAAAAAGATTTGAAGGGCTAACCTGGTTGTGGAACCAAGAGGAATTCATTGTTTGAATGGAAGAATTGAGATGAAAAATTGAAAATTGTTAATCTGAATAAAAAAAGAATTGTATAATGATAAGTAACTAACTTTCACGAAAAAAATTGTCAGGATATTTTAATACAACTTATGTCAAGATGGGTTTAAAAGTCACTAGATTTACTTTGAGATTACCTCAGCATAAACTATTTATATACAACATCAATTTTAAAATAATTCTAATAAGTTTAAAGCTCATCATGATGTAAATTATATCTCAATATCTTGCAAAAAAAGATGTTCCTAACTTTTCGGCGTTTTCATTATTCACTACTCTAAATTAGCATAGAAAGTTGTTTTCATAGTTTGATGTTTCGTACAACTTGCATTACATTGAATTTGAAAATCATTGAAGGTGTTTCTACATCTAATTTAGGTGTTTCATTACAACAATCAGTATAGTCTATTACAAAGTATGATGGTCATAATATTTGAGATATAGTAGAAGTTTGATGGCTTGAAGAGTTTTGGTATTTGGAGAATTAATGTGTGGTCTGCTTATCCAATAGGGACTTGTGGTGGAACTTGGGGCATTAAAACATGTTGATGAAGATGAGTAATTAAGGCATGATAGAGGTGGATAAAAAAAATGCTCTTTGGGTGATCTAATTATGTTTAATGGCAAGGCTTTAAAGATCTTAGAGAGACAACTACAAGGCATTGTGGCTCAAGCTAATGTCTTTATGCATGACCGTAAACTTATCCAACAAATTCTATTAGAAGCTGAGATTGTTTAATTCCTCATGTAGAAAGTTATGTTTATCAAGCCACGTCTAAATCTATTTAATTCTATTATTCGTGATTTAAGGAGTTTTGATGTGATGTTGATGATGAGATTCAAACTTTGTTATTTTTGGTCACTTTACCTCTCCCTTATGTGTATTTTTGTGACATAATGTTGTATAATAAAAATAAATTTAATTTACAAGATATGAAAACTCACTTCTCTCTAATAATCTTATTTCTAATCTTTGGGGCGTGGAGGAAGAAAAACAGGTTGAGTGATTACTGGTTAGGGAGAGAGATTTTAAGAAGAGGCCTACCCCTAGTTAAGATAGAGGAAAGTATATTGGTACGGGTAAGACTTGTTTCTAATGTAAGAAGTTAAAACACAGCAAGAGGGGTTGTCATGCGCTATAGATAAAGAAGCACCAAACAAGTAGCAATCATAAGGAGGATATGGGTATTGGATGCTAATATAGTGACCTATATAAATTGATTTAGGTGATGTTCTTTTAATGATTGCAAGCCTCAGATGTTGTGATTAGTGGATCTTTAACCTGGCTTCTATCTATCATTTATGTTCTAATAAGGGGATGTTTTTCACTTATGAGTTATGTAGTAGTTGTATTCTTATAGGTTACGACGATTCGAAAGGCCTAATAGTTTTAGTATTGTGAGATTGAGGAAGCATTATGGTGTGATTATGATATTGGATTAAGTTAAGCATGTATCTGATCTGTAGATTAGTTTGATATAAGTTCTCTTAGCGATGATGCAAGGTATATGTTTTCTTGTGATTCTGATGCACTTCAGTTTTGCAACGGAACACTGGTTATTATAAAGGTCATTAGAATTGGTGAACTCTATATGTTGTCGGTGCTACTTTGAGTGTAGATGTCTTTGTCGTCTTTATCTTGATGCATCATGTTTTAGGGAACCAAAATAAATATTAAAAAAAAAAAGAGTTTAGCTTCGTAGATGCATGAAAAGTTATGGAACAAAGTCATGTAAAGTTGATGGAAGACTTTAGGAAATGATTAGGTAGATTAATTTTATGTTGCACAAATTATTTCACTATTGGGTCATACCATTATGGCATTCAAAGAGAGGAGACAATTACCTTCGAAGCATGAAAATTTAGCAACATATGCACTTTCATTTTCATTGATTCACTTTGGCATGCAACATATATGTGTCGGAGGTCTCATGAGTGTTTATTACAGGTATCATCTGGCTTTATGGCATTGCACAATACTTAGTTTTGCGAGGTTTTGGCGAGCTTGAAGTATTTGGTTTGTAGAAGAGTCATAGTGAAGAATTGTTGTATTTTGTCTTTATTGTTTGATGTTGGTACAAATCACATTTCATGGAATCTTATTAATGTTGCATATCATATGGATGAAGATAATCAAACTAAAAGTTTAATTACAAGAGCTATGATCAAAGCCCAAGGAAGAATCAAAGAAAATATCCAATTACAAGAGAGCAATAAGAAGCTCATAGTTTTAAATATTTTAAATATAATTTATATTATATTTTTCATTTATAAGTTTATATGATTAGCCATGAAATGGTTAGGTAAATATGAGATATTAAAAATTGAATAGGCGAAACTTCTCTTTAATGTACACCAACCTCTTCCCTTTTTGTCTCTTTTTTTTCGAAAAGTTGATCTTGTAATGCCTATGAATATGTACTAATATACATTATTATTTTCAATTTTTTTAATGAAATAATATTGTCGAAAAGTTCTCTTCATTTGTTGTGTTGGTGGCTTCAAGGGTGTGTTTTTTCTTTGATGAAATTAGGTAGTTATATTTATTTCTTTTATGTTACTTACAAATCCTATTAAACGCCCGCTCTACACTATTCAAAATTCTTCCTCTATTTCATAAGCATCATCTAAGACCTATTAACCAGCAACCAAAATCATAAATCCTTCTAAACACTTCCATATAATCATCAGCCCAAATAGAGAAAATTTGAACCTAGTCTTATTCCATATGCTTCAACATCCTCTTAAACTCCACCATACTCTACTATCAACTCCAAATCACAAGTTCACATTCTAAATTAACCTTCCATTGTTATTTAAAATAATTTATCTCACATAAAGGTCGTTCTTTAAAGTGATATTTTAAATCAGACCAAACTAGACTAGTCATGATATTTCTACTAATATGTTTCTCCAGACCCCTCATCATTCCACCATAAACTCTAGAACATTTCTAATAAAATCATGGGATCTTAATCAAATTGAGCATCAATTCTCCTTCATTTTATCATGAATAATAACAATTCCCTATAACCTCTAAGTGGAGTTCGACATCGTTAATAAAAATTGTTCTTTGCATCTTGTCATTTGATGTAATTAACAAAGGAGATTTGCGACCAATCTTGATACCCTAAATCTAAATAAAACCTATTGGGGAAAATTCTTATTGATTGGGAGACATTTCTAGTATGAAAATCTATCTTAATCCACCTTTGAAATCCCATGTTAGTCCTCTCAGACCACAAAAGCATGGAAAGGAAACACAATCACTTGAGCCTTTCAAAGCCCTCAAATGATTTGTAAAAGAAAATATTGGAGGAAAAATATAAAAATTTGGAGAAAGGTGACTGAAAAGAGAGGTGGGTAAAATGAAAGAGGAGAAGGATGAAATGAGAGGGAGAATATACTACCTACTTCAGAGATTTAAAATATCTAGTTCAATAAATTTTTTATTCAAAAGCTGTTTTAATAAGCAGTAAGAAAACTGTCCCAAACGAAAGTTGAAATTCGTATTTTGGGTTATAATTTGTTACATTTGCTTTATCTATGAACATCATATTACACACTAAAGATTTTAGACTTTCAAAATGATTTTCTATATACTGTAACATTATAGTTTTTTGAATCCTACAACTCAATATTTATATTGGCTGTGATGAATGCAGGTGTCCAGATGGTTTTCTTTTTGTTGAATGTTGGTTGCTTATTGGGTTTCCTATTCACCTTCAAGCCCTTATTAGCTCTGCCCAGAAAGGCTACATAAAACATTCTGTTCTCTGCACTTTCTTTTTCTTGAAGTCTCATCTTCAAACATTAATATTGATCCATCAACTCTTTGTTATTGTAGATTTAAATGACCACTTGAGTCATTTATATTTTCTTAATGAGATTCAGAATTTTTTATTTTTGTATTATTTTAATAAACATGTTAATAACTTTATTAATATGGTGCTAATGATGATTAATTACTATGTTGATTGATTTTGTTAACATGATAATTATTATTTTAGTTCATCAATATATATATATTGTTTGTTACTCTTATGATTTTTCAACAATTTATGCAAGGAAGAAAGTTATGGAATTGGGGTATGACATTCATCATTATGAGAACTTATTTATTTTTTACTTTTTATAAAGGATGCTAAAATTTAATAAAAATAAGATGATCTAATAATTATTCTCTAATGATTATGATTTGATTTTAAATAATTGAAGGTTTAGAAAATAAATTTAAATTTAAGATTAATGATATTTATTAAGGGTGTCAATTAGAGTTGTAAGTCAAGTTTGAATTCGACTCAAAGTGGAATCAATACAAATAATATTAACCTAAATCTGATTAATTTAGGCTTTGTTTGGGATAGTTGTCTTGCTACTTCTTAAAGTAATATTTCAGTACAATAAATTTTTATATTAGAAAGCTGTTTTAGAAAGCCATAAAAAAAATTATCTCAAAGTCAGGATTTTTTGGGATGATTTTTTTGCTACTTTTTAAAGCGGTTTTTTAAGTAAAAAAATTTAAAATTTTGTACTAAAAGTTGTTTTAAGAAGCAGTAAAAAAACTGTCACAATCAAAGACTAAGCCCTGATAATTTGGTCAATTTCAAAATTTCTGGTTAATATGAATCTCAATCAAACTTTATTTGGGTCAACTTAACTTTCGTTTTGGTCAGAATCTTGTTGGGTTATAAGGCCTTGACAATTCTAATATCTAACATTTATAAATAGCAAAAATAGTTATTGCAATGATAAATCAAGAAGAGATAAATAAAAGGCAATGATTTATTAAACTAAAATTTATAAACCAAAGAAATATATTACTAATAATTAAAGGATAATTATATTGTATTAGCAAGTGGCAGAGCCAGAAATTTTATTCAGGCACTACAAGAAAATAATTCATTACCAACACAAGTTTGTTTTCAGTTTTCCGATGGTTTTCAAGCGGTTAGCTTTCGACAGTTTTTTTACGGTCAATTTTCCGGCGGTTTGTCATCTCATCTAAAATGTTAGAATGCATTAAAATAGTTTCGTTTGTCGTCTTATTGCTGGAGCCAAGATGAGCTATAAAATCAAAACTAATAATGCAAATAGCATGGCGAGAGAGGAGAAAAAGGGAAACCGAAAGCCGTGCTCAAGGTCGCGAGTCGTGAGAGAGGAGCAAAGGGGAAAACGAAGCAGGCCGTTTGGGTTGAGGGAAAGCAAGTCATTTGGGAGCGGTCTCCGTTTGGGCCTATGATATGATATATATTGCAGCTAGAGTAAAATTTTTTATAAAAAGTTATTGTGAAAATTTGTAAAAAAATTATTCTGAACAAAGCCTAAAGCATATTCTTGCATGTTAATTCATAGAATTATTAGGTTTTATTTTTATGAAAATAATGCTAATTTTCTTGTGTAAACTAATTCTCCTCACTTAAATTTATTTTAAAATAAGTGCAGCACATAAAAAATTCAATTAAAATGTATATTAGACATAACTCAAAATAATATAATACTTTTAAGATCCATTTTGACAAAAAAAAAAATTGATTTATAAATTGAGAACTATTTTTTATGAATATATTACATGCATTAAAAATCATGATTAAATAGTTATAGTTTGTACCTCAAGCTTTTACTTTTCTTATAAAAAAACTGTTTTATTTTCTTATATCACTTGCAGCCAAGAAAAAAAATTTCATGCATAACCCGTTATCGAAATTTTACTGACAATCACTATAAATTTTCACAATTTGTGGAACACTTAATTCTTTATAATTATTAATATTCATAATATTCAGCTTTTACTTTTCTTATAAAAAAACTGTTTTATTTTCTTATATCACTTGCAGCCAAGAAAAAAAATTTCATGCATAACCCGTTATCGAAATTTTACTGACAATCACTATAAATTTTCACAATTTGTGGAACACTTAATTCTTTATAATTATTAATATTCATAATATTCTTGTTGCGAGCTAGAATATACGCGGCGATAGAGTTATAATTCTACGTCTTAGCGTTGCACGGATATTCAGCTCACACACAGAGAACATAATATTTTTTACGTGGAAAACTCGGAAAGGGAAAAAACCACGGGGCCTAGCCCAGTTGAAAAATGATTCCACTAAAATTTGAGGAAAGTACAATGGTCTGATTTTGTCCTTGAAGACGACCAGATTACAAATATCAACTGAGAGTTTTGCAAAAGTCCAACATCACTCCACTGTCAGATGGTGGTCTGACGGCACTCCGGAGTTGAGTGCAAGACCAACGTCACATGGAGGCCGAGAAGAAGGTTGATGTCACTCTGAAGTCGGGTGCATGACCGGAATCACATGGAGGCCGGGCAGAAGGCCGGCGTCACTTGGAGGGCAGGTAGAAGGCCAACGATACTCGGAAGTCGAGTGCAAGACCGACATCACATTGAGGTCGGGCAGAAGGCCGACATCACTTGGAGGCCGGGTGAAAGGCTGACATCACTTAGAGATCGGG